AACATGGGGACAAAAGTGGGATCTAACACGCCATGAATACGGAAATGGTGGAGCACATACAGGCGGGGGCACAGCATCTAAGCTATGCATACACAAGCACTCGGGACAAGTCCTCTGGGCGAGTCCAGCGACAGAGTGGGATTTGATTACAACTCTTTATTCAGATATACATTGAGGAGAATGATTTTTTTTTGCTAGTAAGAGGAAGTGAATGCAGAACCTTAGATACACAGTATGGCAAGTTCTCAGCTACAGTATAATTAGAATTTTTTTTAGGTGGAAATAGGCACTTTTCTGAGACAAAAATGTGTGTGTGCATCTTTCAAGATTAATAGTGCTTGGTTTAAAAAAATAATCTAAAAATTTAAATTTCACTTCTGCTGAAGAGAAACTGATAAAAAAATTTAGTGCATCATTAACCCTTTGGTTCCCAGATTCTCCATCAGAGAGAAGGTAATGTCCCTAACATCACAAAAATAAAACTAGCAGGTGAAATTGTTTGAAGTTCCAGAAAAAGTAAAAATATTTAATTTTTACTATTTCTAATAAAAGTTTGTTATTTCATTCATTTATTAATAGCTAGCTGGAAAGATGATTTCTATATGAAGTATAAAAATATTATCTTTAATTTTACAGCTTTCACATTTCATTTGCATAATTTCTAGTACCTCATAAATGAATATCAATAGTTTTTTTAATTGAGGTAAATGATTATATTTTATTTTCCATTTTTTCTACTATATCACAAACTATCTGTTATCATCAACATACAATGCAATGTTTAATAATAACAAATGGAAATACATACATACCTTTCAACTCTTCACAGAAATCCACTAGAAGAGTCGTATTTTTCTTGTATGCATAATTTCATGTCTATCTTTTCATATACAGTTTATTTTTAATTTTCTTTCAAATTCTTTGTCTATTGTGATTTATGCCAATTATGTCAACTGATGCCAACGGGGCTTTATGAAGTTATTTCGGCAGATTCCCCACAGAAACGAGTTGTCGAAACAAGATAGCGCTCATACACGCCATTTTGTTTATAACTTTTCACAATCCAGATGACAAGTTAAACTTACAAAAATCATTAAACTGTTCAAATATTATTTTTAATTAATTAATTAACTAAAACAAAAAGTAAGTCCTAAATGCAATTTAACTAACTCTCTAATTATAGCATATTTAGGTAAAAAACCACCGTAATTGCTATAGTCGATCACGCATACAAAAATACTAATGGTAGCTACATCTACTTCAATACAAAAACTCTGTGCCAATTTCAAATTAACCATTGGTGAAGTACAGTGTAAACTGAGTTCTTTCTAATAACTATATACACTTGTGTCAACTAATTACATGTACATTGTTGATTTCAAGGCAAAGTATAGGTGGGCATGGCACCCATCAAGAGTTGGAAAATGTATAGCTGTTTCCCAGATAAAGCAGCTACAAACTTTGAATATCATGTGTCAAATAGGTCACACACACGTACTTAGCATCTACATACTCATGTACATTGCCAGCTCACGTGGTTAAGAGTGAACTGCTGCTAAAGTTGAGATTCTTCATGGTGTGTGGATCATGTCACACAAAAACTGCAGTTCAAGTATTTTTTTGAAAAGATTCTTTTGAAAAAGTAATTAAAACTTAGATAACATAAAAATTCAAATTATAACATACATTATAATATTAATTTCATTGACATATATTGATAGTAAAGTGGTTTAATTAAATTTTAAATGTAACACAATACATATTCAAAAAAGAATTTAAAAATGGCACCAAGGGCCAAAGGGTTAAGTTGAATACAATCTTGCAGTAAAGAATGTATATATAAATCTTGGATCTTAGTTAATATCAAATTCTGATATGCAACTTAATGATAAACAAAAATATCAGTAATACCTTCAGCTTTGTGCCAACTCCATCTGTCCCAGAAATCAGAAGTGGATCTTTATAGCCAGTAGTCTTTAAGTCAAACACTCCTCCAAATCCTCCAATATTTCCAATCACACCTTCTTGTCTTGTTTCTCTTGCAAGATATTTTATTTTCTTCACAAGAGTATTTGATAAAGAAATGTTAACACCTGAACTTTTATATGTCAGTTCTTTACTTTTTAATCTGGAAAAAGAGGGGAAAAAATTTATAAATATTTTCAACTTATAAAGTTCAAAATATCTGTCATTCTCAATAAATGTAATAAAGTTCATTGTGACTGTCAGCAAGTTTTAATATCAATATCTTTCCACAAAAATCAACCTAAATGCATCTAAAATAAATGAATGAATAATTATAATTGTATATTTTGTTCATTTTCTTAGTCTAAAGCTACACAATGAGCTATCTATGCTCTGTCCACCATAGGGAATCAAACACCAGATCTTAGTATTGTAAGTCTGTGAATACACTGGTGCCCACTGGGCAATATACTTGTAGAAATCAGTTAGCAATTTCACCCTGCTTACAAATGTTCTTAAGAACACTACTCTTGAAACAAATGATTTCTTGACTTTACTTGCAGTAATTTCCAAATGACTGAAAATCCTGTCAAACTACATAAATTAAAGACAAAAATTATTTGTCATGGCAGGTATTATCATACTGTAAGAAGGATAAAAAAAGTAAAAAAAAAAGGGTCCAAGTTACTAAACTTTAATGTTAAACATAGTTCCTTGGTCAGTCTTGAAAACATACTGCTTTCTGTATTATTTCTCTCAACCATCATATTTTCTTTAATAAAAAAACTGCTTTTGTTTCAAGTTACAGTAAATAAACTAGAATTAAAATAACCAAACAATATTAAAACAAACAACTGAAAATATACTCTTGGACTGCAGCTTGGCCAATATCTTTTCTGAAAAAGGCACCTTCAAATTTTACAGACATCACAACATTCAGAGCTAGAGTTATAGCACCAAGTAACTCTTCAGCTAAAGCCACTACAGTCAAGACTCTTCCACCAGATGTCACTATATCAGTTTCAGCAAGAGCAGTCCCTGCATGGAAGAGGAGAGTATTGGTATTCTTGGAAATTGCCTCCAACCCTAAAAAATAGAAGAAAATAAAAATGGAAGTTTTAAAATTATCTTTTATTATAGAGTACGTTAACTTCAAAATCTATTCTTTTATCACATACATCCAATATCTTGTAACTTATTTACATTACTTCATAATCTTTGGCTGACCATCATTAAATTAGGTTGATTTGACTTAATCTTTTTTTCAAAAGCATCTGTTTAGTTTTAAATACAATACAAAGTAAATTTAAACAAATTTCTTTTGCACTAATTTTCCCCATTACTTTGGTATTAGCCTTAATGATTTCATATAAATTAGAATCTGTAGCTCTCATAACAAAGAACATGTATCCAATAAACTCACTACGCTCTTATACTAGTTATGGAAACAGTGAATCAAATGTATATAAAATGTAAGTATTATTGGAACTGCACCAGAGTACAGTTACGAGATTAGTTTACACTGTGAATAACTGTTATCTAACCAATCATTATCACACCAGCATATTCCCTGCAGTTATGTATCAATTACACCCTCTGTTCCCAGGACAGAAATGCTACATGCAGGGTTGTAGCTAGGATGATTTGAGTGGTGGGTGGTAAAAATCAGTCTAGCCCATAGTGCACTTACTTGCAGCTGCCACCATCATGCTATCCCCCATCAACCAAAAAAAAAAAAGTTTATAATTATAATGACTTTGAAAGTCCAATATAACATTCCACATAAGCAGTCACTAGACAAGCACGTGTTATAAGGTGAATGACAAAGTCTAAAAAAATAAAGATAGAGACAAATTTTACTCTAAGCTGAGTAATATTTTTATTATTGGTCTATCTTTAACAGCGAGTAATTGATACAAGTTAGTCACAATGAGATTCAAAAAGAGATTTATGTGTTTCTACATTGATATACTTTTATGTTCTAGATATTTTTACACACCACATAAACTTTTAGTGGAAAGAAAATAGGCCTTGTATGGTATCCACTGTGGATGATATTGTCTGATGTGTCACACTAAGTACAAGTGAATTAGCATGACTTGAGCTGTTTGTTCAGTTTTGTGTGCAGGCTTTTTCCTGTGGACTTTTCTTAAAAAGTATTTTAGTGTGAAGATTATTTGCTTCAAGACTTTTCAGGAAAAGTGTTTATTTCTAACAAGTTAACTGCAAAGTAAACTGCACTGCAACATCAACAAAGAAATTTTTCATGCTTATGATGAACTTTTTATTAGTGATATTTAGTGTTTGGTAGCAGTAGTCACATTGCACGGGAGTGCTTGGCAAGCAGAACGAGTCCTGGGCAGCCCTGCCCATTGTTGGCCATATGACAAATGTTAAAAATTAAAGTTTTGGTTGGAGAAGGCAACTCCATGTGAAATATTCCATGTTTCAGAAGAAGTTGTATAGAAACTCTGAGTAGGATACATAAATCTAGTATTGCTGTTAATAGAAAAGGTCCAAAATCTTCAAATGTGATGTTAAGTCAATTATGGCATGCTCTTTACATGATACACAACAATACACTAATGATCTTGCCAATGATCTAACTGTAAACATAATTGTGAATGTTACCTCCAAAACAGTAAGATACATATGAGTACAAACTGGCCTCAATGGATCTGTAGGTGCTCAAAAACCATTGCGTAGGAGAGATATAATAAAAAAAAAGGCTTTAATGGGTATCAGACTTCAAACAAAGGGATGAGTAAAGCTGGGGTGTGTTCTCTTAAGATGAATCTAAATTAAAGTTATTTGTATAATAACCATTGTAAAACATCTATAGTGAAGCATGTTGGGAAATCAATACAAATGTGGGTTGCATCTCAGCCAATTGTTTGAGATCTACACAAAACTGATTGCATTCTAACTGCAGGCAGGTACAAGTTCATTTTTATCTATCATGTCATTCCTTGAGGAACAAGACATGTTAGGCTAGAATTCATCATTCAGCAAGATTTAAAATATGTAGTGAAAGGAAAAAAAAAAAAAGAGGATGATGAAACAATCGCAACCATAACTTGATCTGCAAAAAGCTCCAATATATATTATTAAAACTGTATAAGCTAAAATGGAAAGGTGCCAAAAGATATGTATTGTTTTCAAAGTAATCAAAGAAAGATTAATCTAACTTAACAAGCACTGGACTTAAAATCAGTATAGAATATTATTAAATTCCTATCATACCATGCATTCTGCACTGGATAGTATCGAGGATATTAATAAAAATATTAACAATGAAGCAAAATAATATTAGTACAGATTTTGTAGCCAAATGATATTTCATACTTTAGTAGACTACAGAAAAGTGTTAACTGTTTTATCATCACACATTAATTTACAGTTCACTGATGTACCTGTAATAACTTTTCCTTTAGATGAACTTCCTGGATAACCCTGGCTTGCCAGAACAATACCAACACTGAACAAGTTTGTTTTCCATTTTGGTAAAGCTTCTGGAAGGCAACCATTCACACATGCTAGTAGAGTTGGGTATAGATCCGATTCCATCAGAGGTAATATAGACTTGGAAAAACAAAATGTCATATTTTGCATTTGTTGTAAGTCATAGTTGTATACTAGAATAAAATGTATTTATCTTCCCTCAAAAGGGTTTTCTACAATATTCTTAAACAATAAAAAATCCAACTTTTTATCATAATGTTGTCAGTTGAAACCTATAAATAAGACATACAGTGTTAAGCTTAAACACACCCACCCATTAATCATGAATAAAAGAAATTACCAATACATAATTATAGTGACTGTGAGGCCAGAATATTAGAATCATACCAAGCTATTATTATAACTATTATTCAAGTATTTTATTGATTAATATCTAAACTTGACACTTGGCGATTTTCATTTATCTAATACTGCCTACATTTAATTGTTATATGTAAGTATTATTAAAACAAACAATTCTACTTCTTAAAAAAAGCATAATATAAAATAATGATTTTTTTTACTTCACATATTTCACTAACAATTTCCCTACTGGAGGTGTTTTTAATGGTATTTTACAGTTAAAAAATATTAATTTTTTATGATAGTTTTAAGCAACAGACTAGAATTTGTTTTCATGTCAATTATACTGACCTGTCCACTAAATAGATCAATGATATTAACCTACTCACTACAAAAAAGAAAAGAAAAAAAAAAAAGATAAACAGAAAGTGAAGTATTAATTATGTATTTTAATAAGGGGTTGTAAAAAAAGGATAGAAGATCTTATTACTTGGGTTTCAGGATCTCCAAAGCGACAATTAAATTCCAACACTTTTGGTCCTTCAGCTGTTAACATTAGCCCAGCAAACAAAACACCTGAAAAAAAAAGAGTATGTCTTATTTAGTTTAAAAACCATATGAATGTTTATATACTTGTAGTACAGCATAAAACATAAATGTAAGTACATTATCATACTTACAAAATGTGAAATATACTTAGTAATGTAGTCAATTTCAAATGTACTTAGTAGTATAATGAATATATGAAATTTCTGGTTGAAATATTTGTTGATTGACTGAAATTTCTAACTGAAATTACTGTTGATTTTATAATTCTTTAACTAACTGAAATTACTGTTGATTTTATAATTCTTTAAAGCCATAGCTAATTTTTGTTTTCTTAAAGAATATTGAATAATCTTTGCAGGAATTGATTTATGAGAAACTGTCTGTTTCTCAAACAGTGTAAATGCTTATACGAGTACTAAACAATGCAGTACATAATCTTTTGCAACCTGTCTACTTTAATAGATCTACTACAAAGCAATTAAAGCTGTAACCAATTTAAGTCCTTACAACAAAATATAAATTTATTTTGTTTATTGTGTTGATTATGTTTTAATCTAGAATGTTTCAGTAATCTGTATTGTTCTTTAGCCAGAAGGAAGTTTAACATACTGTGGCGGGCATGGCCTTAATAACTACCACCTTCTCAAAAGTATAAGAAACAATTTAGGCTATAGATAAAAAGTGAATGATAACAGATTTGATTACAGAGTTAGTTAGTTAACAAGTAACCTGTGCATGATTTTTATAAGTTGTCTAACCTAATTCAGTAGATACACACCTACAAAAGGTACTCCATCTTCTCTCATTGCATCCACAGTTTTCTTGATAATGTCACTTTCAATTTGTTTCATTATGGTTTGGTTGACCTTCAGTAAATAATCATATGCAATTCTCTCACTGAAGTACTCTTAATAAAAACCACTTTGCTAATCTCCAAAAATAATTCTATTATCTTGCTTTTATTGGACTTTACCAGTTCACAGAAAATATAGGTACAGACAAATCCTAAGTTCTAATGTTCTAACTAAGAGATTTCACAGTATGGAATAGTAAGATACAATCTTAGATTTTAGAGAAATTTTGTGTTCTTTCATCAACAAATTACTTATTCCTAATAACTATGACAGAACACATCTAAAACCTTTAAAGATGTGCTTCTATTCAATGATCATAATATTCCTTCAGTGTTAAGACTTTCATTAATTAGTATACTACAGCTTTCATCTTTTTTCACTTGTAAACAATATAACTAATAACACTTGTTCAGAATTTTGGCATTATCAATTCTTTCACTTTTTTAGCTATTTTAAATATTTTATTAAATTTTATCAAACATAAATTTTTGATGGAAGGATATAATACTGATTTTTATAGATTAATAATACTGAAGAAGTGAATCTGCATTCCATTCTTGTTTTATTATATTAATGGGTTAAATCAGGTTTTTGTTATTGTTTGTTGGCAAGCATAAAGCTACACAATGAGCTACATGTTCTCTGCCAACTATGGATTTTTTGCATCATAAGCCTGCAGACTTACTGCTAAGCCAGTATGGGGTTTTTTGTTATCATTCAGTGTTCTAAGCAATTATTCTAGAAAGCTTTTATTAAATATGGGGACAAATTGTGATTTACTTTTTGTGTTGACTAATTTTTTTAACACAACATACTTAAAACATAACAATACAACATACAAAAACACATGGACAATATGCTCCCATTCCTCCAGTATTTGGCCCTTTGTCATTTTCAAAGGCTCGCTTGTGATCTTGAGCAGGTTTCATAAGAGAAACGTTTTTTCCATCTGAGAAAGCTAGAACCTGGTGGCAAAATATAACTAAATACAGTAACTTTATAAAATCATCAAGTGTGTCCTACAACTGTTATACAATATACTAATTTCAGTACAGCATACAAGTAGAATATTTTATAACATATAACAGATAATCTTCAAGTAGTAACAGTTCAAGAAAAATGTATATTTGAAGGAAGTTCATCTTTACAATAATTTTATTTGTCTAAATTTGAACTTCACAGAAAAGCAGCATTAAAAACAAAAAAAAAGGACCATAAAGAGATACTGTTGTGACACTGTTTGTAACGTTTAAAATGATTAAAATATCTCATTGATGTCTAGGTGATTTTGCATGTCCAGAAAATATTTGAAAATTGTTTCTTGTTGGTAACAGAAAGGAAAGGTTGGTATTAAAATAGTACCAATTCATATCAGTTTCTGCTTATCTATTATCATTGCAGAATGCATTTTGCACAATGAAATGTTTCTAATAAATACTATTTCAAATAATCTAAAAATCTTTTCAATTGATTTACCTATAAAATAAATGATAAACTAAGAAGTTATTCAGTAAAATTAATAAACTATAAATGGCTTTATTAACTGATATAATATATATTTTCTTTTTATAAAAAACTGAGTTAGTTACAAGTTTTGGACTTTAAGACACATATGCATTATTTAATCACTTAGATTATAATTGGTACCTCATCATACAAATTATAATTTATAAAATTATCATGATCACTTACAATGCATAATTTTAAGTTAGGTATTTCTGAACTTTTTTTGTGAAAGAAAAAAACTCACTTAAGTAATTTTTATGTTACTAGAAATTAATATTTTCATTCTAATTCAAAGATAATATTACACAACTAAAATTTCAGTTATCATTTTTGTAACTATTTTAGTAAATATAATTACATGGATCTTTTAAAAAATAAACACTGTAAATATATATTTTGAGAAAAATTCATATCTACAAAAAACATGATGCCTTTCATGAGAAATTGACAATGTTCCTGCCAAAACTCCACTAATACATACATAAAACTGACTTTGAAAAAACTGAAAATAAAAAAACAATACTTTTTTAAATATTAAGTTGATGTTTCTAAGGCTGAAAGTCTTTGGACTTTCAGACACATATGCACTGTTTAGTCAATTTTAATGTAACTTAGCATTTCTTTAGATCACAGAAAAAGAAAATTCTTACTGATACTTCCTGCCCTTGAAGAAGTTCTTCAATGACGACAATCTCTCCAGCCATACCCAAAGTCTTCTCCTATATACCGTGATGTTATAAAGATGTTTAGAATATCATATTTTCATTAGCAATTGAAGCTCTTCAAATATTTGTAATGACATACAGTATAAATTTCTAATTTGTCTGGTATTTGGTTATCAAAGTAAAGTTTTTCTTGTAAAATGGTGATGATTATATAATTTTAAATTATAATTCCTAAAATGTTAACAGAAAGAATGAGAATAGGAAAATGAGAAAAAATCTGAAATATTATGATTCCAATACTGGGCCTTCAGTACTTGGTTTACTAAAGTAGAAAAAGTTTGAAAATTAGAAACTCCTCAATATATTCTTCTGTTTTTTGTTTTTTTATATATATTTGACAGATATGATGCCCTTAAGTTTTACAATAAATTAGTCACATTTAGTTATCCATTTGGTAGTTCCATGTGCCTTTTAGTAGCTCCATGTTCCAAAATTGTAAAGCTATCCCATAAAGTATAGTTTAGAAGTTCATCATATATGCATAAAATTTTTCCTGGTAAAAAAACCTTTTTAATGAACTGTTCAAGTTTTAACTTTACCGCTTATTGTTTGTTCCCAACAAAAAATGTAATTTCTAGTTCTTTATCCAACTACTCTCACTTCAACATGCCACGCGATAACCTCTTTCACGTTTTAAATTCTTTTCATCTTTAAATTAAACTACTGAGCAAGTTTTTAATGAATTTTCCCCACTAAAAATCCTTGCCATGAACACACCATTTTATAAAATCAGGAAAATGAATTAACTAGATACTGATTGTTAAAAATTGAAGCAGATATACACAAAATATTAAAACATAGCAAATACATTGTTGTGTTGTGTAGCTGAATAATGGCAGCATTTGTTTACAAAAGCTCAACTTTGAGCAAGTTTTTCAATGTATTATTCAAACAATACAATACACAATAACTAAATACAAAAATGTTTTTGTATCTCTTTATAAATTTTTGTAGAAATAATCAAATTAAGACTTCTTGAACTAGTAAATTTTTCTAATCATTCATTCTTAGAAACTGACTTAAAAAATTGTTCTTATACAAATAACAGGAATATAACAGTTTAGCATAACAACTAACAACATACAAATTCTCATAGAAAATCTTGGCTTAATGTACAGTTAATATAGGTCAACACTTAATCACACTTCTTCTGAGCAGTGAATAACTCCAACAGATTTTTTTCTACATAGCTATTATAAATGCATTTGAAATAATTTGAAAATAACCATTTTGTTGGCTTTTCTCTTTCATACACTTATTACATTAATTTGGATGTAAATACAAGTAGCACTAACAGTCCAATCAACTATGTGAGAAATTGCCCAACTATTCTTCACTATTGTAATTGCTACAGAATTTTTTTTATCAAAAATATCCAAACTAGAGCATATTGTTGTCACAAGAATTTTTTTCTCTATTAAGGATAAAGTGAATAATTACATAATTCACAACTTCAGTTTTACTATGATTAAATTTTAATCTAAAACAAGTCCTAACTTTCATTTTATAAAGAAAGTGACTATACATGTCACAACTTCAGAATAAGGTGATTAACTACATGCATGAAAGTAACAACTATATCACAAATACACAAATAAAATGGTTCGAGCTACCAATGTAAACAATACTTATTTACAGCTTAACTATTTAAAACAATGGAATTATTAAACAAATATAAATTATCATAACTTCCAATTAATTGCAATTTGTGTGTTTATGCAGGATAATTTGACTTCTTAATCTTCTGTTTAATGATATATAGACTTTGTTTCTTTCTTAAGTAAATAATTTTAAGTATTTTCCAATTAAACATTTTTATGACACAAGTTTATAAGATCAGAGTAGATGTTATACAGTTCTGATATAATACACTTAAAATAAATAACTAATTTCAAGTTAAGGGATATTGCTAAATGTTGTCAAAATTCTCAAAATTACTGAAGTAACCAAAATCAAAATATACCACTTTTCATTTCATTTTTTAATTATATAGAAACGAAAAGGTTTATTATTTCCAAAGCTTTTGGACTAATAAACAGCCAATCATCAGAGGTTACACGTTGTCAGACTGTTAAACTTCTGTTATTTCAGTTAAAAACTTAGGACTTACCTTTTTGTCCATCAGTGATTAATTAAAAGTGCATTTGCTGTACAAACAGTGAGTACATAAGTCCAATTTAAAAGTATGAACTATTCTGTTGTTTTGAAGTAAACGAAGAAGAATGGATTGAAAGAGAAAATTGGCATCAAATTACAAAAAGATGAAAATCAGAGAGTAAATGTGTGTTGAAACAAACAGCTACTGTGGTACTGATAAAATACCTTCATCATCATTTCTACAGCTTGTGTTGCCGCTTCTCTTGAATCTGCTACCACAACTCCCTTACCAGCACTTAGTCCACTAGCTTTCACCACTAGAGCTTCATATGGAGCACTGAAGCAAGAATATTTACAATATCTGATATCTAATTTCTTGTATTAAATCTATAATAAGTTTAAATTTTACTTTTTAGGAAATTATCAATACAATTCATTGTCTGATACATATTTACATTTTTATTCGTTAGTTCATTTACTACTATGATTTACTACTTATTGATTTTAACATTTCTTATGCACAATCATATACACTGTTCTAGTACATTACTGGTTCTATATATTGTTTCCCTCATTTAATGCTTTTATTTAATTATATCTCCCAGTGATTTTTTTATTCCTGTAAAATAGTTTATTCCTGCAGATAATTAAAAACTAACAGAAGACAGTTACTAATTTAATCATAAAAATTAAGTCACTTAAATGTCTTTCATAATCTTTTTTATAATCTCAATTTACAGGCACTTTAAAACCAATAAATCTACATAAACTTGTATTTTATAATTAAATTAAATGTTTCAAATCATAAAAAGAATAAGTGTCTACTTTCGTGTGGATGCTTAGAATGACTGTAAACTTTATTTCACATGTATTGCACATATGTACAAGTTGCACGTAAAGAAAATAATAAATATATACACAACACTGCATTGATGGTGATGATTACACAAACTGGCTACTCCTAGGTGTTATTATTTGCCACAGTAAAAAAGAAATTAGGCATAATGAGTAGTGCTTAATTTATCACAAACAACTGGCTAAAATACATTAACAGTTTGCAGTTAATTTGCTATGATTAAATAGTAATGTACAATTAGCTTTTTTTCTTAATACACGGGATTTTTGCCCATTCCATCCAGTGTTCTAATAATTAATTAGTTTACAGTGACTGTTTTTATGAAAGTAAAGGGTTGGCAAACCTTAAACACGTAAAAACAACACAGCCTTAGTGACAATATTTGAATCAGGTATTGGGTGTCATGTTTAAATCCAAGGAATAAAACAATAAATATACACTGAAATAATTTTTGTATTAGCTGGAACTTCTGCATGATTAAAATTGTTTAAATGACTATTAGAAATAATTAGTATCGTAACAGGAAAATAGTCATGTCAAAAATACATAGCCACATATGGATAAAAATGTTTTAGCTTATAAAAGGAATGATATAGGAAATTTTAATCTTGGCCTAAAACAATTCTTACTGTCCAATGAATGCTTTAAAGAATATTCATACCAAAAAATTTAAGTACAATTATTTTATTCTTTTCTGCAATTTTAAATTATATTAAAATAAAAAATAATAATTAAGCTAAAAACAAGGACTTTTACTTTTGTGATTAGATATTTTTTAATAACATATACTGGGTATGAAGATATATGTTTGAACTTTTAAGTTAGTGAAATTCACTGGAGGCATACAGATAAAATTTTATAAAATACAAGTCAGATATGTTTGATACTATACCTAACACGTAAATCTTTAAAGAAAGAAAATGTTAACTCTCCATTTCAAGCAAACCATAGTTTTATATACATGTTGCTAAAAACTGATGTCAAAAGTTGTGGTGCTACTATAGAGTATAATCTACAAAGAAATCTAGACTATAGCGTGTGGTCTACACAGATATTATCATCATCACTCTTTTAACTTTCGTTTATTTGCAATTGACCCAATTTATTATAAATAATGCTTTTAAGCTAATAAAGTACAAAATATAATTACATAATGTTCTGGGGCAAATCTAATCGGAATGAAATAAGTTCTAACAATCAAAACTGACAGAATTATAACCTAAATTTAAAGTACTCTTTTGGAACACACAACTTATTAGATTATTATTATTATTTGCTGAAGAAAAACGTGGATAAATATAAATTATGTTTTAGTGAATCATTAAAACAGTGATAATGATAGTACCTTTGTAGACTAAACGCTGTAGTAGCACCAGTTATGTTAGCTCTGGGACACATTTTTTTAAAAAGTAAGATAAGAGGTTGAGGTAAGTATTGTGGAGAGTAAAAAAAAAAGTGTCACTTAGTACCTCTGAATATGTTTCTTGGCTGCCTCTGGTTCACTAAACGATTTGTACTGGCCTGTTGGAATATCATACTTTTCCATGAATGCTTTTGCAAAAGCCTTGCTTGATTCAAGTTTTGCAGCTTTCTTGGAAGGTCCAAAGCATTTTATTCCAGCAGCTGACAGCTCATCTACAATGCCTGAAATAATGAAACACTACAATATTTTTATAATAATTATCATCTTCACTAACATTTCATGCACTTTCTCTCCAAGTCAACTGAAGTTTTAAAAAAAACCAAAAAAATTCAAGAAAAATTAATATTTTCCTGATTAAGTGAAATAATATCAGTATTTTCAAAAACTATTATTTCACAACTTACTCTAGCATTACTTAAAAAAACAACAACATTATATTCAATGTGCTATGTACATTTTTTAAAACTACTGCTTAAGAATTTAGCAAATTTTATTGCAAAATTCATAACTAAATGTACAGATGATGCTACAGCAAAAGGTTTACAGAAATTTGACAATGATAGTAGAAAAGCTCATCTACTAAGTGTATTCTTTTCAATTTTTCTTGAATGAAGCAAACACTAATTCAGCTATTTTCTGCTTTAAGTAACTAAATTTACAAGAGAAGAAACTAATACTGACTCATCCCATCTAACACAACAGTTGGAATTTTGGCCCTAAAGAAAATCAGGATTAGTTTAATATTTCTGGAATGCTGACTTTTAGGAACTATCTGATAAATTATGAAAAAAATATATCACCATTGGCTAGTGGATCCTCTGGTCCAATAACAACCAAATCAATCTTCTTAGTCTTGCAACATTCCAAGATTTCCTTGTTATCCTTGATGTTAACAACTAAATAAAACAAATTGCACAAATTGAAGAAGCATTTTTGTAGCAGTCTTCAAGTTTAAATATTTTTGTTGATTTTTACGAGTTAAAAAATCTTTTAAAAAGACCTTTCTTCAGAACTTACAATGATAACACAGGCCAGCAATTTTAAACTTCATAAAAGTTGTTTTGGTTTTAATAATGTATTTTCCATAATTCAGCTACACAGATTTCAAAAATAATATTCATTTTTTTCTATCACGTAAGGATTTTTGACAAAGCAGGAAGAAAAAAACTTACTTAGATCAAATTGTTATTTTGTTTACCACAATGAACATTTTATATTATTATGTTTGTTAACAAAAATACAAACAATCTGAAGAAAAGGGGAAAACAATGATGTCAAATGATATGTATCCTCATTCATCCTGATTTGTTTTTGCAAAATCTATGTTTTTTAGTCTCAAAACTATGTGTTATGGTCTTTCTTTTATGTTTTGCATTAAGACGTTTTGTGAAAAATCTGTATATGATGGAGAAAAATGGATATCATTTTTGGATTCAGCATAAAGGAATTACTGTAGAACATGTAAACATTTCAAGACAATAAAACCATCACAGGCCTGTGTAATCTATAGACATTTTTAGCACATTATGCACTTTTCAGTGGGACATTTGTTTCAAAATGGGAACAATGGTACAAAGGCATATTCTGGAGCCATCACTGCATGCTTTGTAATGAAATATATTCACTTATTTGAAAGCATGTTTATTAGTAATAACAGAAATGAAAACTGGAATTGATAACATTTTCAGATGTAAAATTTCTATACAAAAAATGGGTTCTTTGATAAAAATAATATATACCTTATTAACTCCAAACACTTAACTTACAAGATATTTAAATATACAACTCTGGAATGGAATGATTATGTTTATTATATGGAAATTGAAAGAAGTTCCACAATAAAAACTTTTGATAACAAAAACATACTTCTAAAGCTAGTTTTTTGTTGTTTTTTTATACAGCTAAATTAGGTCACACTTTAGTCAGGCAAAGCCTATAAGACAGTTAAGATGTCAGTACTGATTCAAAAATCAAATCATCAAGCAACTAAAAAGGAAAGTCTGATACTTATTACTCATTTCTAAACATCACTTCTGTTTCACAAAAAAGTAAATTCAGATAACATAAATTATAGTTTGCATGTTTTGTTTTTATAAACCTTTCACAAGTATATCTCAAATCTACCTCATGGCCACTGGCCAAGTATCTAGCAAGTCTACCCAAAAGCAATGCGAGTGATGCATTGAGTAGAAAAATTAAAATGAAAAACATTTAATTAGTTAAAGCAAAAAATGAGTGTTAGCTATGTAATATCCCTTGAATAAGTTTTACTGTAAAGAAACAATCGAAAATTTAACAAACTATACCAATGATCTAGGAAACATATTGAGTTTTAATTCACAAGTAGAAATAAAGACAAAATTATCAAGTTTAGAAATACTGGCTAAAAAAAATTATAATTTGATACCTCTGTAGCTTTTACATAGGATATAACCTTCATCTTAACTCTATCAGGCCTGGATGGGTGAATCCCATATGAGGATAAAATTGCACCATTTAATTAAAAAAAAAGAAAAAACTTGTAGTTATTCTTCTACACATTAAAAAAAATCTTAAGAGTTCAAATTTACTTGATTAAAAAGTTTTATTAAACTTTATACATAAAAATAAAAATTTCAAATGTTGACTTTAGGGCAAGTTCAACTTGCTCCAAACAAAAACATTATAGTCTTTGAGAATTTCCTGACTTTTTCTTATCATATTTGGGCACTTAAAGCCTCCTAAAAGGAAAGTAAAAATAGTTTGAATACCACTAGTTGAACTTGTTAGCTTGAATACAAGTGCAGTTTTATCAATTTTAGCCAACCTCAGTTGGTCATGATGTAATGTAAATGCTTATATCTAAGCTTTGAGAAGTCATTGGCTAGTGATTAAACATGTAATGAAAGTTCTTCTTCTGTTCGTTTCAATTCTATAAACCAATATTGCTTCCAGTTCAGCAGAGATTTGCAAAGAGATCAGAACAGAGTAATAAAAGCTTAGCTTGGCAATAAGTTGCTAGAAGAAAGGGTGTTTGTAAATAGCTACTGTCACACAATTACAATACTGATTTTTTTTAAAGCTTTCAAAAATCTTGCTTTATCATTTCATACTTCATTTGAATTATGATGTTTCAGTATGATAGGAATATAGTGTTTTTCATGGAATGAGATGAGGTAGGCTTAGCTAAGTAATTTTGCACTTGATTTTATCAAGTTTTATTTCACCAACAAGGCTGCTGTGTTAGACAGTGTTTACATTAGCCCTTATTGACTTATGATACTGCTTAACTGGGCAAAGAAATACACCAAAATGAAATGTAAATGAATATAAAGTTGGTTTAAAATTTATTATATATATATTAAGTGAAACCTAGTGATAAACAATTTAAAAAAACAACTTGCTTATTATAAGTTTGATATAGTAAAAAAAAGAAATTTTTGCTGTACACCAGTGATTTTAAACACAGTGAAGCTGCATGCTGTGTTTTGAATCAAAATAAATATAACATTTTCAGTTTTACAAAATAAAAAGTATAGGAAAGTTCTAGAGGAATGTAGGAAGATAGAAATTTGTAACTAAAATCTACAACAATGTTAAACATTTCTATTTGCTTCTTAAAAAATATATAACAAAGAAATATTTTTGAATGTTCAAAGCTGAAAATTCATACAAATAACATGTATAAAAATAACAATATTTGCAAAAGCTACATAATCTGTAGAAAGTTCATCTGAAGTTACAAACTCCTTCATCCATACATCAAATCAACACACCTAAGCACAATAGTTAATGCACATTAAGCACTCATGGCATATTACTTGTTTCAATATGGGAAAAAAACAAAAATTTAACCTTTTCATTTTCTTCATTGAGATTTAGGGTCCATGTATCTTGATCTTATATGCATGCAAATAACTGAATCTCGTATCTATAGGTTTGCAACCAAGAAATGTCATTTGAGATCATCTGGATTTTTATATACAGCTAAAACTTTCCCAAACTTAATAATAAAACAGGTAATATGATGATTTTGACTTCTGTGTGTCTTGTGGGGTAAACAGATCTTTTATGCACAATTAAGACACAAGGCATGTGCAAAAATTCAGAAAGGGCTAACTCAGTTAATATAAAGGGAAAAGAGAGATAGACTGGACACTTCCCATTCAAGTTTCTTCACAACTGTTTTTAATGTACATTGTACCTCTAACAACTGAGCAAACCCTTCTTTTCCCATTATGGACCTGATATAAGCTGTCCCTTACAAAAGCTAATAACAGATAAAAATTTGCCACAAGCTGGCTACAGTATCTCAATTAAAGTGGTAGAAGTTTTTTGTTCTGAAAATGTTTTTATTTTGCTACACATATTTATCTCACAAAAAAATTAACATTTTTAAAAGGGTTTTATCACAAGCTTTAATGTAATATATAAACCTAAACCTTACAAAAACTACTTCAAAACTATGTATTGAAACAACTAATTATAAATGCTTACCAATATTTGAAACTTTTTCGACCAACCGAGTCCCACCATTGCCCGGAGCAACAAATACATGCTGAACAAGGGGAGACTGTGCAATTTTCCAGGCAAGAACATGTTCTCTTCCTCCACTACCTAGTATTAGAACTTTGTCTGTCATTTGTTTTCTCTCTTACAGAAAGCTCTGTAAAAATACAATGTTTTACTTTTTTTTCCTAAAATCTACTGATAATTAACTAAAGAAATTTCTAAAATTTTTTTCCAATAATTCAAATGTTTTTCCGAAGGTAAGGAGCCCAGGACTGAATACATTACTCCAAATATGGCCTAACCAGTGATCTATACAATGAAATTATAACCACTTTAGACTTGTATTCAATATTTCTATAGATACTACCTCAAATCCTATTTGTCCTACCACTAGCAACAGCACACAGCTTGAACAGCTTAAGAAACTGATCAACTATTACACCATGATCCCTTTCTTTCATGACACTGTTATGGATATTCCCATCCAAATTATATGTATAATTCAAATCATGATAACCCATATGCATTGTCTTGCAATTATTATAATTAAAACCCACTTGTCATTTATTTATCCAACTCACTAAATGATGTAAATCCTTTTGTAAATCAGCAGTATCCTCTTCACAGCTAGCAACACTCAAAACCTTATTATCATCTGCAAATTTACGTAATTTATCTATGTCACTAATGTAAATCAAAAAGAGCAAAGGTCCTGAGACTGAGCCCTGATGTACCCCACTTGTAACATTAATCCAGTTTCACTGAACTCCATTTATAACAACCCTCTGCTTTCTTCTATCCAGCAACTTTTCTATCCAATTATCTAACTTATCTCCCACATCTATAGAGATGCTATTTTTTACAAGCACCTTGTCAAAAGCTTTCTGAAAATTCTGATTCACCAAATCTACACTCTTACCCTCTTGTAAGGCAATATTTTCCCTTAGTGAAACCATGTTGACTATACAATAAAATTCTAAGGTTTGTTAAATGGCTTTGCAAAGCATCTTTTTTTCAGAATTTCTAAAATTTTTCCCAGAAATGATGTAAGACTAATAGGTATTTAATTACTAACACAATTTTTATCACCTACCTTGAAAAGAGGAGTGACATTAGCTAATTTCCAATCTTTTGGTACCTGCCCACTTTACAAAGACTTACAAAATATAGTAGCAAGTGGCTCACATATCCAATCCTTAACTTCCTTCAAAATCCTTGGGGAAATATTATCTGGCCCAAGAGCCTTATTATTCTTTAAACTTCCCAATTTTTTATTAACAGGCTCAGAATTAATGCAGTCAATCTTGTTCGAACTTATTTCCATGTATCAATTGTTCAAGGTGTGGAATACTACTTAAATCTAAATTAAAATTAAAGAAAAAGCTGATTAATAACCCAGCCATCTCATAATCATCAGATATGAGCCTTCCTATATCATCCCTCAAGGGTCCTACCCCCATCCTAACATTTTGTTTACCCTTAATGTATTTAAGGAAATCGTTACTGTTAATTTTTATTTTCAGAAAATCTTTTCTCATACATCTTTTTTGATGTCCTAATTTCCTGTTTGACTAACTTTCTTTATCTTCTATAATCTTCTAAGTCTCCTGTCATACCAATCAACTTTAAATTTCTTAAAATTGTGATGCTTTTCTTTAATTTTATCTCTTATACCCTTTGTAAGCCAACCAGGGTTTTATTGCAGCCACCCTTTTCTTTCTATAAGGAATATGTTTATCTTTAAAAATTTTCCACATTTGATCAGTGTCTCCAAATAACTCAGCTGCCCAATTCAAAACAGATAATTCTTGTTGCATCCCTTCAAAATTTGCTTTTTTTTTAAATTTGTAACCAAAATATCATAATTACTTACCTTCATTTGCAGCAAAACATTGAACCTAATACAGCAATGATCACTTGCACCCACATGTTCCCCAATTTACACCCTCTCAATCATTTCTATATTTGAAGTTAACAATAAATCTAAAATAGCATTGTTTCTAGTAGGTTCCTTGACCAATTGGTGAAGAAAGCCATCTTCAACAGTTTCCAAAAACCTTTCTCCCTCATGGTTTGACTCTAGCATTTCCCAATCTATGCCTGAAATTAAAATCACCCATACCTATGACTTCATTAACAGCTGAAATCTTAATCTTATTGCAAAGTTTCTTGCATATTTTATCAGTATTATGTGGTGGTCTATAACAAATTCCCACTAATAGCCTTTTCCCTTTATATCTGCTAATAGAAACCCAAATGAATTCAACCTCTTTGCTATTACCTTTGATATCCTCAACTTCAACAGGATGTAACTTACATTTTACATTTAAGGCCCCTCCTCCCCTTCACTTTAGAATTCTATCCCTGTTAAATAACTTGTTACCCTGTATTTCAAAGATATGTCTGTCATCAAAATCATCTACGTTTAACAATGTTTCAGTTATTCCCATTATATTTAAATCCTCCATTCCTACCAGTGCTCTGAAGTCATCTATTTTATTTCTTGTACTTCTAGCATTACAAGAACAACAATTAAGCCTACCCTTATAACTACTTCTATTCTCATTTCCTATGCTAAACTTTTCTCTATCACTTATTCTTTATGCATTTAGTTTATCCTGGCCCTCATCACCATCTAGTCCTAGTTTTAAGCTTCCCTAACAGCTGAGTAAATAGCCCTATCCTATCCAAGGCAACCGTATCCTATTTAGATGTAAACCATCCATTGAAACAAGCTTCCTTCTTCCATTGAACTGATCCCACACTGCCAAATTGTGAGTGACAAAATGGTAAGGATCAATCAAGGCTTTGAAATCATATAAATTACAATAAAAGCCTTGACAGTTTCACTGTTTCAACACAGCTTTTTAACCACATGATGGAGATCTGGGTGGGAAGCTTTTCTGTTCAAATTTTTTAACATTTTTCTTCATTTTCTCAGTGAAAGGTCAATCAACTCCATGGACCATGATCTGGACAAATGCATCACTCAAACTCTCTTCCCTTTCATGGGTTGCCACTTAAAGCAAACATATGGATGAATGTTTGGATCATACAGAAGGAATAGTTGTTCATATATTCACAAACAGTGTAGAATTCCAGAGCTGGAATCACATTTTCTGATAACATGCATTACTTATATTTTTTACAAATCATATTCCCATATTGTACATTGTTAGCTCATAAAATAGAATACTGATAATAGTACCTTTGGATCCCATTCTTATTATATTGACTGATAACAGAATCTTAAAGTTTTGTTGGCATCCTATAACTGAAATAAAAGATTAAAAGGCATTCAAATACTATAGTCAAGATGGATGTTCTAAGCAGGGATGTTAAAGAAACAAACTCTTACACTTTAAAAAACAATGTGCAAATTACAATTTTTGAAACTTCCAACAATTAGCAGAGGTTTCACATATAGTAAAGAATGACTGCTGTGGAGGGATTGGGGATTATAGGTGGGTAGAATCTCCCCAAAAACACTTTCTTCACTGTTTGATCCTAGAGAATGTAAAATATACACAAAATTCTATTAACTTTGCTTGCAGCAAAATAGCACTGCCTCAATGGCTTGTGTCACTTATTCACAAGTATGTCAAGATCTTTTCTTCATTTATGCTACAGAGTAGGTTCCACTCTAGATTAAATATGATCCAAATTTTGATAATCAAAATGCATTTCCTTGCATTTACTATAATAAACGGTAACCTGCCAAATATTTGTCCAACTAACCAATTGGTCCAAGTTCTTTGGTAGTATCTCAACATCCTAAATACAATTAGAAATACCAAAGATATCAATGTCATCCACAAACGTTACTACTTATACCCTTACCAGTATCATTAATGTAAATAAGAGAAATCAAAGGCCTAAGCACTGACCCCCAAGGTACTCAACTAGTAATATGGGTCCAGTTTCACATACTGTATTTCATTGATAATAACTATCTTACAATCCAATTTAATAGTCTTTTCCCCAATCCCACCAATGTGATTTTCTTAGCTAATCTTTTGTGTAGCACTTTATCAAAAATTATTTCTTCATCCAGCTAAATAAGTAACAACCTCTAAAAGGTTTGTGAACTAGTAACTGTAAGGGTAAATTTCCTTTAGTAAATCCATGTTGATTTTCTATTAATTTTATGATGTTATATTTCACTAGATGACTTTGCAAAGCTTCCTTTATCAAACTCTACATAACTTTCTTCACTACAGAAGTAAGACGTACAAGCTTATAATTTCCAAGACAACTCTTATTATGCCCTTTAACTTATTTTAAGAAAAACTCAGCCATCTAATACTCTTTAATAAAAACAAAACAAAAAACCTTTGCCAATAGCATCCTTTAAAGTTTAACTTTAAGTATCCAATCCCCATTTTTACCATTTAGCTTCGATTAACATACGTAAAAATTCCTTACTAAGTTACTTGCAGTTTAACACTATATCATCCAGTCGTCTTTCATTAGCTCTTTAAGATTTCCTACTTTCTTTTTAACTAAGCTCTCGCTTTCGTATACTGTAGCTCTGAAATTGTGAAAATCTTCCATCCTATCTTACTCTCACGATCTGTCAATTTAAAACCTCTTAATAATTTTGCATTATAGCATTTATTTATCCTTGATTTTCTCCTTCGTCTGACTTTAGTAAGCCAATTAGGTTTGATATTTCCTGACATCCTTTTTTTTTTCTTTTTAATTTGCTTATCTTGAAACTGAAAGTTGAATTAAGTTCAGCTCTTCAACAATATTCTGATTATTCATAATTTAAAGAAAAAATACAATTTACATTAGTGTAATATTAATAATCGTTCACAATAAAACTAAAAATTAGTAAAACTGCATCATAAAAGGTAATCCTTACATAAGTTAACACTGTATTCAACTTAAAAAATCCAAAGAAATATTAAATATCCCAGGATTACCTAGAAATTAAAATAAACTAAAGAGACACTTCAAGTACAATAATCTCACGTGAGTTTCTTCAAATTCAAAAACTTAAATTGAACTTCGAACAACATTATTTCTCAAATAAACCACCAGAGGATACCTAATTATGTGTAAACGTTGTTTTCAAACCTCGTTAAAAAAAGGAGAACTGACACTCAGTATATTGAACGGCTTTTATATTATTATATGATAATATATATGCACTTGAAAAATAACAATAGAAATATAGAAGTGAATTATAATTCTTCAGTGTATGCTCTTCTAGATTTGATTTGAAATTTGCGCAAAGTTACTCGAGAACTATCTGAGCTAGCCATCCCTAATATCGTAGTGATAAACTCCGCCAAACTTTGGGTTACTTTTTACGAAAAAAATAGTAAATGCCGTTACAGCTGAAAGAGTGAGCACGTTCGGTGACAGGGATTCGAACCAGCTACTCGTAAGTTACAAGTCGAGTGCCCTAACTGCCAGTTTAATTACTATTTAACTCTAAGCGTCAAACGCCCACCGTAATTAAATATCAGTATAATTAATATTTGAAACTGTCGGTACTTGGTGAAACTCCATAATTACACAATTTATGAATTTTTTGTGTAATGTACAATTTTCTTTGTTTATCTCAATTCTGTAAATGTCAATGGTCTCAATAAGCAGTAGCGAAAACTTCACCGATAACTCTGTAATACGGAAAAGAAAACATCAAGCTTCATTTAAAGTGATGAGTTGTATTCATTGGATAATTTAATGGTTTAGTTTTATCTGAAGATAAAATAATATCAGTGTTGTCAATTTAATAAATGAATATAGTTAAAAAGTTGTTAATGTTAGATTAAACTGGTATCTAAAGGTAAAATGTATGCAAAAACTTTTCATTATACCAGACAAGTATGCTTTCTTTAAGTTTATCAACCAAGTGCAAAAACAGACGATGCTCGAGTGTCTGTCTGTTTTTTGTTTTTTTTTAATATATTTTATAGTACTTTACAATGAATGACTATAGTCGGTTTACTACATCGCAGTTTGTGTTCGATAAATGTTTTTATTAATCATCATTGAATAAGTGTTTTTTTTTGTTGTTTTTTTTTCAAAAAAAATATATTGTACATCATAAAGTTAAACTGATTTAGTTTATATTTTTGTTACATGCCATCTCTTTCTTATACTGTCTAATAAGCTCAATAGTATAACTATATACGGGAGGAAAATACCTGAGGTCAACATGTTTTAAAAGCATTCTTTTTCACACAATCTTTTTCTTATCAAAACAAATCTGTTTAGTATAGCTCCAGAAATTGTGATCTGTATACGTATTTTCATTGCAATGTGCTCCATTATAACAGTTCAGATGGTGAATAAAAAACGTGATATCTTGTTTTTACATATCTTAAACCTTCTACGAGAAAATGCATTTTTCACAAATACACTAAGAATTCTATAAAGATTTTATGTATAGTAATTTGAACCATCCAATAAAATTATTTGAATTTCCATATTATTTTCTAGTACTGACGTCTTTTATCATGATAGATCCATCTGTAGTAAGTACCTAATTTCTTACTTTGTAATATAATTAACAGGTAATGGTTGTCATTATAGAGGATTGAATATGTTATATTAAAGCGATTCCAAATATGCAAATTAGTAATTCACGTGTCAATCACAGCCAATATAAAGTTGTTATGGAATGTATCAGAAGTACATTTTGGCATTGTACATTGTTTGGAATGTTTCAAGTAGTATGACACACCAATGAAAATTTATTGCTTTTGGAAAGGATATGTAACAGCTCATTTCGACGCAAAATTTTGATACACTCTGATCATTAAGATGTGTTCATATCGGGGATTTATAAGTTCGAAAACGAGGATACCTGTTTTACTCAATGGCATTGGAAAGCAACTGAATATGGATCAACTGGATGATGGGGGGGGGGGGCAGAACCATCCAGAAAGATACCTGCAACAGGTAGTACCCCGATCGTGGTAAGTAAATTGCAGCATCTTGTAACAGGTGAGAATCCATGAACACAAAGGTCAGTGGCAAAAGCCGCCCAAGTGTCTTAGGCAACAGTATGCAACATAATCTAGGAAAATCTCCAGTTAGAAAAGGGAAATGGGTCACGTCAACAAAAGTTTCTTCTACAACATATCTTCAAGTAGCTGGAGAATGAAATTGGTAACTATGCTATCTATTCTTTATGAGACATACCGGTAAAGTCACCTGATTCAACGTTTATGAATTTATGTGCAACTGGACTGTTGAAATGGGAGTTGAGAAACACTCGTCCTCGTACACTAGACAGATTATGGAAAGCAGCAGGGAAAAAGTATGTGTTGAACATGACAGCCTTTTGGTAGAACCTTTTGCAATTGAAACTACATTGCAGAACTATTGTCAAGAAGCAGAGTCGTCAGACAGAGCACGATTAGACGTGGCGGCATTGACAGTAATGACGCAGTGAGGCTCCAAAATCGTTTGAATATACCGTTCTACCTCTGTAATTTCTTGTTCGTGACAAAAATTGTTTTTTGTTTTTTTCCTGGAAAACGAATGATATATTAATAATAAATAGCGAAAAACTACCACTTATGACGGTTTGTTTCATCCATTCGTTAGAGAACATTTGCAATTCGAGATAATAACGTAAATAGTACCTTGTTATTAATTTAATTTTGAAATGAACAAAGTTCATAATTTCCAGTAATTAGACGTTCATAGTGGCCCATTAAGAGTAAACAAAGAAAGGTTAAGGTCATTTGTTTGCAGTTATGATATTGCCATTTTCTAGGGCAAAGCTACGCAATCTGCTCTATATTTACTTCAGTGAATCGAACCCCGAATTTTAGCTTAATAAGTCTGTAAACCTACCGCTGACTCACAGGATGACTGCAGTTATGATAATGTTATTGTGCATTGAATTTTAAATCACATCAGAAATATTTCTTAGAGTTTAATTTGTATTTCCAGAAGCATGTAGCAAAAATGCAAACTTCTCATTCTTTTTAAAGATTATCTCTTTCAGCTGTATACTGAACTTTAAGACACATGATGTATTTGACTGTTACCTGTTTAAACTATTCATTTATGCATGCTGATCACAATCCAGACTGAACTGAATGAACATGTATGCCAAACTTGGTTTGGGTAATATAAAAGCAGCTTGAACTGGAGTTATGATAAATATATTAAGTATGTAGTGAAAACTGACTGGATCCTTGAATTTGTCTGGAACAATTAAAGACAGTGACTGTCATTCTCTCTTCTTTGATCACACTCACCTGTTGATCAGAAGCAGCTTAATCTTATTCTAACACGATATAAAGCATTTTTTTAAAATTAACGTCTTGGAATGCTAAATATTGATTACAACAATATAAAATGTCTAAAGAACTCGCGTTACACCCAGAACGTCTTTTTTTTTTTTTTTTTTTTTTTTTTTT